ATAGATGTTATGTAACATAAGTCACATGGATCAAATAGATGTTATGTCACATAAGTCACATGGATCAAATAGATGTTATGTCACATAAGTCACATGGATCAAATAGATGTTATGTAACATAAGCCACATGGATCAAATAGATGTTATGTAACATAAGTCTCATGGATCAGATAGATGTTATGTCACATAAGTCACATGGATCATATAGATGTTATGTAACATAAGTCACATGGATCAAATAGATGTTATGTAACATAAATCACATGGATCATATAGATGTTATGTAACATAAGTCACATGGATCATATAGATGTTATGTCACATAAGTCACATGGATCAGATAGATGTTATGTAACATAAGTCACATGGATCAAATAGATGTTATGTCACATAAGTCACATGGATCAAATAGATGTTATGTAACATAAGTCACATGGATCAAATAGATGTTAGGTAACATAAGTCACATGGATCAAATAGATGTTATGTCACACAAGTCATATGGATCAAATAGATGTTATGTAACATAAGTCACATGGATCAAATAGATGTTATGTAACATAAGTCACATGGATCAAATAGATGTTATGTCACACAAGTCACATGGATCAAATAGATGTTATGTAACATAAGTCATATGGATCAAATAGATGTTATGTCACACAAGTCACATGGATCAAATAGATGTTATGTCACATAAGTCACATGGATCATATAGATGTTATGTCACACAAGTCACATGGATCATATAGATGTTATGTCACATGGATCATATAGATGTTATGTAACATAAGTCATATGGATCATATAGATGTTATGTAACATGGATCATATAGATGTTATGTAACATAAGTCATATGGATCATATAGATGTTATGTAACATGGATCATATAGATGTTATGTAACATAAGTCACGTGGATCATATAGATGTTATGTCACACAAGTCACATGGATCATATAGATGTTATGTCACATGGATCATATAGATGTTATGTAACATAAGTCATATGGATCATATAGATGTTATGTCACATAGATCATATAGATGTTATGTAACATAAGTCATATGGATCAAATAGATGTTAGGTAACATAAGTCACATGGATCAAATAGATGTTATGTAACATAAGTCACATGGATCAAATAGATGTTATGTCACATAAGTCACATGGATCAAATAGATGTTATCTAACATAAGTCACATGGATCAAATAGATGTTATGTAACATAAGTCATATGGATCATATAGATGTTATGTCACACAAGTCACATGGATCATATAGATGTTATGTCACATGGATCAGATAGATGTTATGTAACATAAGTCATATGGATCATATAGATGTTATGTCACACAAGTCACATGGATCATAGATTTTATGTCACATGGATCAAATAGATGTTATGTAACATAAGTCATATGGATCATATAGATGTTATGTCACATAAGTCACATGGATCAAATAGATGTTATGTAACATAAGTCACATGGATCAAATAGATGTTATGTAACATAAGTCACATGGATCAAATAGATGTTATGTAACATAAGTCACATGGATCAAATAGATGTTATCTAACATAAGTCACATGGATCAAATAGATGTTATGTAACATAAGTCACATGGATCATATAGATGTTATGTCACACAAGTCACATGGATCATATAGATGTTATGTCACATGGATCATATAGATGTTATGTAACATAAGTCATATGGATCATATAGATGTTATGTCACACAAGTTGGGAATCGAACCCGGGTCACATGGATCATATAGATGTTATGTAACATAAGTCACATGGATCAGATAGATGGTATGTCACATAAGCCACATGGATCATATAGATGTTATGTAACATAAGTCACATGGATCAAATAGATGTTATGTAACATAAGTCACATGGATCAAATAGATGTTATGTAACATAAGTCACATGGATCATATAGATGTTATGTCACATAAGTCACATGGATCAAATAGATGTTATGTAACATAAGTCACATGGATCAAATAGATGTTATGTAACATAAGTCACATGGATCATATAGATGTTATGTAACATAAGTCACATGGATCAAATAGATGTTATGTCACATAAGTCACATGGATCAAATAGATGTTATGTCACATAAGTCACATGGATCAAATAGATGTTATGTAACATAAGTCACATGGATCAAATAGATGTTATGTAACATAAGTCTCATGGATCAGATAGATGTTATGTAACATAAGTCACATGGATCATATAGATGTTATGTAACATAAGTCACATGGATCAAATAGATGTTATGTAACATAAGTCACATGGATCATATAGATGTTATGTAACATAAGTCACATGGATCATATAGATGTTATGTCACATAAGTCACATGGATCAGATAGATGTTATGTAACATAAGTCACATGGATCAAATAGATGTTATGTCACATAAGTCACATGGATCAAATAGATGTTATGTAACATAAGTCACATGGATCAAATAGATGTTAGGTAACATAAGTCACATGGATCAAATAGATGTTATGTCACACAAGTCATATGGATCAAATAGATGTTATGTAACATAAGTCACATGGATCAAATAGATGTTATGTAACATAAGTCACATGGATCAAATAGATGTTATGTCACACAAGTCACATGGATCAAATAGATGTTATGTAACATGTCATATGGATCAAATAGATGTTATGTCACACAAGTCACATGGATCAAATAGATGTTATGTCACATAAGTCACATGGATCATATAGATGTTATGTCACACAAGTCACATGGATCATATAGATGTTATGTCACATGGATCATATAGATGTTATGTAACATGTCATATGGATCATATAGATGTTATGTAACATGGATCATATAGATGTTATGTAACATAAGTCATATGGATCATATAGATGTTATGTAACATGGATCATATAGATGTTATGTAACATAAGTCACGTGGATCATATAGATGTTATGTCACACAAGTCACATGGATCATATAGATGTTATGTCACATGGATCATATAGATGTTATGTAACATAAGTCATATGGATCATATAGATGTTATGTCACATAGATCATATAGATGTTATGTAACATAAGTCATATGGATCATATAGATGTTATGTCACACAAGTCACATGGATCATATAGATGTTATGTCACACAAGTCACATGGATCATATAGATGTTATGTCACATGGATCATATAGATGTTATGTAACATAAGTCATATGGATCATATAGATGTTATGTCACAGAAGTCACATGGATCATATAGATGTTATGTCACACAAGTCACATGGATCATATAGATGTTATGTCACACAAGTCACATGGATCATATAGATGTTATGTCACACAAGTCACATGGATCAGATAGATGTTATGTCACATAGATCATATAGATGTTATGTCACATAAGTCACGTGGATCATATAGATGTTATGTCACATAAGTCACATGGATCATATAGATGTTATGTCACATAAGTCACATGGATCATAAAGATGTTATGTCACATAAGTCACATTGATTGTCATGGCAGTAAATTAAATCAGTTGTTACATCCAACAATGAAGCAATGAAAGATAGTTTCATTACCAATGGACTACTTGTTTTGTTTGTGGGCTAGTGATAGTTGAAGGTTACTTTTAGGTTTAGTTCTAACCCTGTTGTTCATCGTTAGTGCATATCTTTACTAAATTCCCACGTATTGTCTTTCAAACGCTTATCCCTGTTATTCCCGTGCGGAAGAATACAGTTTAATCCCGATCACGGAAAACATTCCGCCCGATATTTCGTAGAATCTTTTAACAGTTCCACTGAAAACGAATTACCTGGATGAAAGACGAGACTTTTGAGAAATAAAATCATGAATTCATCACCCCTTTCCGTAACCTCCAAGAAGACTCGTCCCCGTCACGAAGCTTGTTATGTGTGAAAATACGACAAAACAACCAGAACGCGCGTAATGATAGCGGTGCTTTGATAAACATAATCCCGAGTACTAAAATCGTTTATGACAGTATGTCATTGTTTAAAAAATCATGAACATATATATCGTCATATTGACAGTACAAAGAACATAATAGAATTGTGTTCCTCATGTGAAGTTTTTGATAGGGATAATACGGTGAGAGATTCAAATACACGCACGTGCGTTTGTTTGCATGACGGCTCTCGTGGGTCCAATTGAGTGTACTTCTGACGATCTTGCGGGCTTGTTTTGGTATGAGGTAAGCAGAAGCCCTAATGGCGTCACTCATGTAATAATGCGCTACTACGATCACGACAACAAAGTACGCATCGATTCGCTGTTAGGGTGTGTAAACAGATTATTGTTTACGTATCTGTCAGATAGCACTTATCACACAACTCGCGAAGTTATATTTGCCTTAATATATCTAGCTTTAGCTTGTCAGATTCATTTTGAAGAAAATTTCGAGACAATAATCCCCTTCCATTGTTCACCCATACTGAGAAAACGAGTGTTGTTTCATGAAATTCATATGTCATCGTATACCATTTGCGTGATCGATGCTCATGATGTTGATCAGTGGATTGCCTTGTCCAGACTCGATTATTTACAGACCGCCGTCATATAGCTGGAATATTGCGGCGTCAAACTAAACTCACTCACTCACTCACACCAAAGCGTTATACACAACAGCCACCCTTCAACTCTCAAAACATCTCACATGCTATGACATCACTGCTAAACGGACACCCGGAATAAGAGAAAAAGTATTTTGGGCACCCCCGATTGACATACAAGAAAACGAACCAGGAAACGATACAAATGTATTTTGCTTTACCAAGAATAACCCGGGTTTCGAACCCAAACTGGATTGTGAGAAGGATTGGGTTCTGGCTAGCCCAAGGCAGATAAACGGAGATTTATGATTAACAATAACTGATAAAGGGACAGCAAGTAAACACATTCACCCGGTAAAACTATAACACACGTGATATGGTTTCATTTTCCGTGCTGGAAACTGTCAGCTGTTAGTAACGAGAGCTCAACCACTTGAAGGTTGATCTTCAGGATACTTGTAAGTACTGTTAATTAATTAGCGTTTCTCAAAGAATTTGGACATCACATGACATAATTCCATTATCATCTTATTTTAGGCCGTGTTAGGTCATTTTATGGTTAAGCAGGTGTGTTAGCCATTTGAGTATTTGTTACATGGCGCGTTGATGCTACTAAGGTCGACTTTCTTGTTTCCGTTTGATGAGCAATAGAAAACCTTCAACTGTTTCTGTGTGTTTTTCAAATGACATATTTCCACTGAAGTGTACAGGTTAAGGAAATAATTACTACTAACATTCCCGAGTCAAGAGTTATGCATTCAAAGTAGCAAATATATTCATTTACTTCAGAAGTTAACATATTTGACCTTTTCTCCAAAATCACATGTGACTAACTGGCTTCACAATTTGTTATTAGTTCATAACATTTCCATTGCCAAAATACCTCCTTTGTCAAAATTATTCTGTGTATTCATAGTGAAATTGTTTCAAATTAAAAGAAACCTTCAAAACGCCGTCCATGTATTTTCAAACTGCTAAACTGAGGGGTTGTAATACAGCGCAGCGATAAAATATCATTTTGAGTAAGTGAATGAGTATGGTTTTACGCTGTTTTAGCAACATTCCTGCAATATCAAGGCGGGGGACACCAGAAATGGGCTTCACACATTGTACCCATGTGGGAAATATCATTTTGAACAAAAATCGTGACGCATATTGTAATATATAGACCTTAGTCAACGCAAAAATAGTATCACATAAAATCAGAGGAAGTATTTTTGTGACTCATTTGTGAAAGCTCACTTGTTTCAGGAAATTGCTCCAAGTCATTTACACAATAGTGTAAATAATAAGGTTTATCGAAGTACACAACATTATAGCGGATCTTGTGGAGATAGCATGGACCACTACTCAGGCTGTCAGTCTGCATTGTTTAGGGGATGTGGCGCCAAGGTTGAGTAGACGACACTGACTGCAGTGTCAGGCATCATTCAGACACCCATATTCTAAATAGAAACATCTAAACACTGGTGTCTAAACAGTGACATCTAAATAATGGTGTCTAAACAGTGGTGCCTAAACAGTGGTGTCTAAACAGTGGCATCTAAACAGTGGCATCTAAACAGTAGTGCCTAAACAGTGGCATCTAAATAGTGGTGTCTAAACAGTGGTGTCTAAACAGTGGCATCTACACAGTGGCATCTAAACAGTGGTGTCTAAACAGTGGTGTCTAAACAGTGGCATCTAAATAGTGGTGTCTAAACAGTGGTGTCTAAACAGTGGCATCTAAATAGTGGTGTCTAAACAGTGGTGTCTAAACAGTGGCATCTACACAGTGGCATCTAAACAGTGGTGTCTAAACAGTGGTGTCTAAACAGTGGCATCTAAATAGTGGTGTCTAAACAGTGGTGTCTAAACAGTGGTGTCTAAATAGTGGTGTCTAAACAGTGGTGCCTAAACAGTGGCATCTAAACAGTTGTGTCTAAACCGTGGTGTCTAAACAGTGGCATCTAAACAGTGGCATCTAAATAGTGGTGTCTAAACAGTGGTGTCTAAACAGTGGCATCTAAACAGTGGTGTCTAAACAGTGGCATCTAAACAGTGGTGTCTAAATAGTGGCATCTAAACAGTGGCATCTAAACAGTGGTGTCTAAACAGTGGTGTCTCAACAATGGCATCTAAACAGTGGTGTCTAAACAGTAGTGCCTAAACAGTGGCATCTAAATAGTGGTGTCTAAACAGTGGTGTCTAAATAGTGGCATCTAAACAGTGGCATCTAAACAGTGGTGTCTAAACAGTGGTGTCTCAACAATGGCATCTAAACAGTGGTGTCTAAACAGTAGTGCCTAAACAGTGGCATCTAAATAGTGGTGTCTAAACAGTGGTGCCTAAATAGTGGTGTCTAAACAGTGGTGCCTAAACAGTGGCATCTAAACAGTTGTGTCTAAACCGTGGTGTCTAAACAGTGGCATCTAAACAGTGGCATCTAAATAGTGGTGTCTAAACAGTGGTGTCTAAACAGTGGCATCTAAACAGTGGTGTCTAAACAGTGGCATCTAAACAGTGGTGTCTAAATAGTGGCATCTAAACAGTGGCATCTAAACAGTGGTGTCTAAACAGTGGTGTCTCAACAATGGCATCTAAACAGTGGTGTCCAAACAGTGGCATCTAAATAGTGGTGTCTAAACAGTGGCATCTAAACAGTGGTGTCTAAATAGTGGTGTCTAAACAGTGGCATCTAAACAGTGGTGTCTAAACAGTGGTGTCTAAACAATGGCATCTAAACAGTGGTGTCTAAATAGTGGCATCTAAATAGTGGAGTCTAAACAGTGGCATCTAAACAGTAGTGCCTAAACAGTGGCATCTAAACAGTGGTGTCTAAACAGTGGTGTCTAAACAGTGGTGTCTAAACAGTGGCATCTAAATAGTGGTATCTAAATAATGGTGTCTAAACAGTGGTGTCTAAACAGTGGTGTCTAAACAGTGGCATCTAAACAGTGGCATCTTAACAGTGGTGTCTAAACAGTGGCATTTAAACAGTGGTGTCTAAACAGTGGCATCTAAATAGTGGTGTCTAAATAGTGGCATCTAAACACTGGCATCAAAATAGTGGCATCTAAACAGTGGTGTCTAAACAGTGGCATCTAAACAGTGGTGTCTAAACAGTAGTGCCTAAACAGTGGTGTCTAAATAGAGGCATCTAAACAGTGGTGTCTAAATAGTGGCATGTAAAAATTGGTGTCTAAACAGTGGCATCTAAACTGTGGTGTCTAAACAGAGGCATCTAAATAGTGGAGTCTAAACAGTGGTGTCTAAACAGTGGCATCTAAACAGTGGCATCTAAATAGTGGTGTCTAAACAGTGGCGTCTAAACAGTGGCATCTAAACAGTGGCATCTAAACAGTGCTGTCTAAATAGTGGCATCTAAACAGTGGTGTCTAAACAGTGGCATCTAAACAGTGGTGTCTAAACAGTGGCATCTAAATAGTGGTGTCTAAACAGTGGCATCTAAACAGTAGTGCCTAAACAGTGGCATCTAAACAGTGGTGTCTAAACAGTGGTGTCTAAACAGTGGCATCTAAACAGTGGCATCTAAATAGTGGTGTCTAATTAGTGGTGTCTAAACAGTGGCATCTAAATAGTGGTGTCTAAACAGTGGCATCTAAAGACTGGCCTCTACACAGTGGTGTCTAAACAGTGGCATCTAAACAGTGGCATCTAAATAGTGGTGTCTAATTAGTGGTGTCTAAACAGTGGCATCTAAATAGTGGTGTCTAAATAGTGGCATCTAAACAGTGGTGTCTAAATAGTGGTATGTAAACATTGGTGTCTAAACAGTGGCATTTAAACTGTGGTGTCTAAACAGTGGCATCTAAATAGTGGCAACTAAATAGTGGTGTCTAAATAGTGGTGTCTAAACAGTGGTGTCTAAATAGTGGTGTCTAAACAGTGGCATCTAAATAGTGGTGTCTAAACAGTGGTGTCTAAACAGTGGCATCTAAATAGTGGTGTCTAAATAGTGGCATCTAAACAGTGGTGTCTAAATAGTGGTATGTAAAAATTGGTGTCTAAACAGTGGCATTTAAACTGTGGTGTCTAAACAGTGGCATCTAAATAGTGGCAACTAAATAGTGGTGTCTAAATAGTGGTGTCTAAACAGTGGTGTCTAAACAGTGGTGTCTAAATAGTGGTGTCTAAACAGTGGCATCTAAATAGTGGTGTCTCAACAGTGGTGTCTAAACAGTGGCATCTAAACAGTGGTGTCTAAATAGTGGCATCTAAATAGTGGCATCTAAACAGTGGTGTCCAAACAGTGGCATCTAAACAGTGGTGTCTAAACAGTGGCATCTAAATAGTGGTGTCTAAACAGTGGTGTCTAAACAGTGGCATCTAAACAGTGGCATCTAAACAGTGGTGTCTAAACAGTGGCATCTAAATAGTGGTGTCTAAACAGTGGTGTCTAAACAGTAGTGTCTAAACAGTGGTGTCTAAACAGTGGTGTCTAAACAGTGGTGTCTAAACAGTGGCATCTAAATAGTGGTGTCTAAACAATGGTGTCTAAACAGTGTCATCTAAACAGTGGTATCTAAATTGTAGAATCTAAATTCTACATAATAGTAGTTGCATCTAAATATTGGCATCTAGATAGTGGCACCTATATAGTGGCACTTAAATAGTGGCACTTAAAATAGTGGCATCTAAATAGTGGCACCAAGATAGTGGCATATAAATTTTAAATAGTGGAACCTAATTAGTGGCATCTAGATGGTGGCGCCTAAATAGTGGTATCGAAGTAGTAGCATCTAGATTGTGGCATCTAAATAGTGGCATCTAAATAGTGGCACTTATATAGTGGCACTTTAATAGCTGCATCTAAATAGTGACATCTAAATCGTGGCTCTTATATAGTGGCACTTAAATAGGGACATCTGAATAGTGACATCTCAATAGTGACGTCTTAATAGTGACATCTAAATAGTGACATCTAAATAGTGACATCTGAATAGTGACATCTGAATAGTGACATCTAAATAGTGAAATCTGAACAGTGACATCTAAACAGTGACATCTGAATAGTGACATCTAAATAGTGACATCTAAACTGTGACATCTGAATAGTGACATCTAAACAGTGACATCTAAACAGTGACATCTAAACAGTGACATCTGAATAGTGACATCTAAATAGTGACATCTAAATAGTGAAATCTGAACAGTGACATCTAAACAGTGACATCTGAATAGTGACATCTAAATAGTGACATCTGAATAGTGACATCTGAATAGTGACATCTAAATAGTGACATCTAAATAGTGACATCTAAATAGTGACATCTAAACAGTGGCATCTAAATAGTGACATCTAAACAGTGTCGAGTTAGGTCATCCCTCCTAGGTATTTTCACCAACTATGTAGAATAGTAAAATACTTAAATACACAATATTTCATCGGATCCCAGTGCAACCATTGCTCAAGCTCATTGCTCATGTCAGTGTTTGTCGGTATCCATAGTTCGAAGGATAAACCTAGACTATTGGTCACTACAGAGATCAGCATCATTGTCTCACCCACATGCCACGCGAATATGTTACACTCAACTTTAACTCAAATTCTTCATTTCTCCTTCAACCACCCAGCGGTGGTACTAGATTACAAAAGCATCGGTTTACTTAAAAAATGACAAGATGGGGCACAGTTAGTGTGATAGTATACTATTAATAAACATCGATAGCTTTTTCAATTCTGCTGTTTTCTTTGTACTAAAGTGTTGCTTGAAGGTAACCAGATTTTTCCATTTAAGGTATTGCGAAGGAATATACTTTAGTCTACTATCATTAAGTAACTACATCTCGAGTAAATAATGAAGTTAATATTAACACAATAGATCCAAAACGTAGAACTCCGTTTGTCTGTCGTTGATGAAGAAGAGCGTCCGTAAAACTGGATATCGGAAATGCATTTCTGAATTTATATCATGTTCATGGTGAATTCCTTTAGAATCATCTTTCCACCAGACAGTAAGCAGTCTCACAAGGATCTAAACTTCTCAGCCCAATCTTCACTCTTATTAAATATGTGCTGAACCAATTAAATTATGATTCATGAAAACACCAATAATGTAGAATCAAATATTACTAATAGTGTAATATCAACAAACAATGAAGACCTGGCCCGAGGTTATAAAACTTTCCTGAGTACGATCTCGAGCTCAAATCCGGTTTCGTGCTCTACTCAGAACCCAGACTCGCTAAACGGAGGTTGTTAAAAAATCTGATTACGTTTTCGTGCTCAACGTGAGCATGAAATACCTATGATCTCAAGTATGCTCTGGACCGTGCTCAACGCTGTGTTCGAGGTCAACCATGGCAGCTCACCTGTGCCAGATTCGGCAACCTCGGCGGACATCCCGTGTACCGAGCGTGTTTCGAGATCCTTCGAACCCGCTCGAAGTTTTGGGAGATGATGAAGTCTTTGAGAGATACCGTTTTAGGCCAAGAACGATCATTTTGAGCATGAGCACGAATTTGAGCATAAAATTGAGTTGAGCACGAAAGTTTTTATAACCTCGGGGCCTGTTTTGCAGCTAAAATACATCACAAAATAACTAGATTCATAAATCAACAGGGCTGAATATCGATATAGGTTATAGAGATCGGTAATCATTGACTAAATATCGATCGATTATCGATAAATATCGCAGCAAAACTTTGAGCAAAAATGCAAATGAATGTCCCAATGAAATCAACATGTTTCACTCCACCAGTGAATGTTGACATGTTTCAACATAGATTACTAACAAAAATGCCTTCTGAACATAATTTAGAGGTGAGGTGAAATTGGGCTTTACGTCGTGCTTGAGAATATTTCGCTCATATGACGATGCATGCGTGTGTACATGTTGAAGCTGGTTTTATAGTGCTAGCCCACTGAGATTACCGCAGTGAAGCATGAATACACTCAGAACATTATACTGACTCTGAGCCGACCAGTCCTTTGTTGTACCCATTAATGCCGAGCGCCAAGCATACCAACAACTACCATATTTTAACGTCTTTGGTTTGACGCGGTCGGGGATCGAACCCGCGACCTTCCGCTCTCCGGGTGGACGCTCTAACAACTACACCACGGTGGCAGTCGAACATAATTTAGAGCAGCCCATGAATAAAGACCTAACTTTGTGCATTGTGTGAGTAAACGAAAACTAATTTATCACAAAACTTTATGCATGATCGATGTTACCATTTTCACATCGATAATCATTATGTTTTTTCTTTCGACGATACTTCCGAATCCCGATCATGTTAGCCGGCCCCACAAATCAATAGATGCATACTCAGATATGTTCATTGATCATACGGGGCCGCGGGGTAGCCTAGTGGTTATAGCGTTCGCTCGTCACATCGAAGACGCGGTTCGATTCCCAACCGTGGTACAATGTGTGAAGCCCATTTCTGGTGTCCCCTTCCGTGATATTGCTGGAATATTGCTAAAAGCGGCGTAAAACTAAACTCACTCACTTACTCATTTATCATTCAGAGTCACCATTTACAATCGTTTATTTTCACTTGTTCTTATTACGTTTCCAAATCCCCTTGTTTTCTGTCTCTTTCAAATATTGTAATTCTGTGCAGTAAATTGGAAAGGGGGAAAGGTCTAAGTTTCATTCTTTGTACCAAATAGGTTTCCCTATGTTTTGTGAGAAAACAAACGAACTACTCAGAACACACGTGATAAACAAGGATGGGTATTTTTTTGAATTTCTATCAAAATTCTTAACTCACTCACCAATCGGTTTATATTTTTCAGACAATAAGGTTGTCAGGTGCAAAGGGCAAGATGAAAAGACTCCAGCACCCTCAGAGTTTGGTGTTCATCACTGCACTGTTGTCTTTTGCGATGGCTTCCAGTACATCTCAGCCGTTGCAGAAGATCCTGGACTGTCATAAGGGATGTAACTGCAGCCAGTCCAAACTGATTGAAATGCGATGCAGAGGATTAAACTTAACAGGGAAGCCATTGCCAGCGCCCCCACGACAGTCCCACAGTTTCAATACAAGCATTTATCTGGAGAATGGAACAATTCCTGTACTCTCCAACAACACCCTACAGGAGTATCATCGGTATCAGATTGTCTATCTCAGTCTGAAAAATAACACAATGGTATACATAGACAGGAATGCCTTCAGCAGCTTAAAGCATTTGCAGACGCTTGACCTGTCAGAGAACTTCATTGCCGAAGATGGTCTCAAGGAATCGTTTCTCGGAATGGCCAAGACGCCAATCAAACAACTGAACATTAGTTCTATGAATCTTACGAATGTTTCTGATGATTTCTTTAAACATTTAGAAAATGTTACAAACTTTCGACTTATATTTCGAAACAACACTAGTGAATTCCCACTGAATGCTCTCCAAGGACTAAGACAAATGACCAGTCTCGACTTTGGTGGAAATCGTTTAAAGGACATAGATCTGAGGAACGCCAGCTTTACCACTCTCCAAAGTCTTACATTTGATAACAATCGCTTCTATGAGTTTCCTAATTTTTGCAGCAGTAATACTTTCCCAAGTCTTAAAAACCTGTCTGTTCAGTGGAATGGTATGAGATATTTAGACAGAAACTATTATAGCTGTTTAAAAAATCTCACTCGCTTCCACTTAAATGGTAATCTTTTTCCAGAATTAAAGTCAAATCAATTTTCGATGTTGCCAAGCATCTTCAAAATCACATTGTCTTATGTTGCGTGTGCAATGCACACTATAGAAAGAGCCGTGTTTAATAATTCGGCACTGAAACAAATATTCTTTCGCAAGAATCGTATTTGGTTCAGAGAAGCTGAGATAGACATGCGGGTTTTTGAAGGATGTTCTTCTTTGGAACTTTTGATCTCAATGATAATGTTTTCCAAGTAACCACAGAAACGGAATTTAGTAGGTTGCTTGGACACCTCACCACCCTCAAGATTTTGGTTATGGGTGGTAATGGCATACGTTTTATACCACAAGTAATAACGTCGAAATTAACAAATATAACGAGTCTTGCTCTGTATCGGAACTCGATTTCGGACCTAAAGCCAAACACGTTTGAAAATATGACAAGGTTGAAAAAGTTATTCTTGGGAAATAATGAGATTTCAACAATGAATGAACAATCTGTTCCGAAAACTCTAAAACTACTCGAGATATTTGAAACCCCTTTTGCCTGCACATGTGACATAGTGTGGCTTATAGACTGGATGCATAGGGAACCCGAAACATTTGGTATTTATAAAACAAGTAAATATGAATTTTGGTATAACTGTTCCAGCCCCGTGAACCTCAAAGGGGTTCACTTGCAGGATTTGAAAATGTCAAAGACAAGTTGTCTGATGGATCAAGATGTGAAAATCGTAACTCTTACCTTCAGTATTTTACTTATAGTGTTCCTGGTGACAGGAACGTGGATGTATCGTTACCGTTGGCACATCCGATACTTCATCTACATGGTCAGATACAGTCAACGTCAGGAGGTGGACACTGCCAACTACGAATATGACGCATTTGTGGCCTACTGTGCGCCAGATCGTCAGTGGGTCATTCGGAACATGTTGCCTGTTCTGGAAGGTAACGAAAACCTGAAACTCTGCGTCCATGACAGGGACTTTGAAGTTGGTAAATTAATCGTTGATAACATTGTGGATGCAATTGAAGCAAGTCGGAAAATTGTCATTGTGCTCTCCAACAGTTTTGCTGTCAGTGACTGGTGCCAGTTCGAGCTCAATCTCATTCAGCGCCACGTGCTCGAGAATAGACAGCGCCTCCTGGTGGTGGTCATGCTGGAGGAGATAGACACACGTCACGTGACCAAGGCTATGAGAGCCATGTTGCAGACGACAACCTACCTGATGTGGGGAGAGGAAGAGTATGCTAGAAAAGCCTTCTTCAACAGACTGAGGATGTTACTTCGTAGTTCGACCAGAGATGCAGGGAACAGGCGGCTATCGGTTTAGTTGACAAGAATATGTGATGCTGAATATTCATTCTATATATGTATACCATGATGATTTTCTGTAATGCATGTGTCAAGATGTGTATTTCGAGAACAAGTGCCCATAGAGGAAGCTTTCTAATAACAGTCGGTAAAACGTTTGATACAGAAAAGTCAATATTGGCTCTTCCCAAGCTACGTTTTCTACACTTGTGAAAGATCTAGGCCTCAGGGTTGATTCAGGTCTCGCCACGGGAGCCCAATTGGACATACTCTGTAAAACATGCTACTTTCGTCAGAAACATCCGAAAGTACATTATACAATAGAAAGCGTTAAGGTCCTTGTCAGGTCATGTCAGGAGACTCGTCTCGATTAGATTACTGTAAGGACTGCTTGTAGGTCTCAACAAAGCTCAACCTTACAAACTGCATAAAAGTTCAGATCACGGCTGCTTGCATTGTTTTTTGAAAGCCAAGTCTCAAAACATAACTCCTACTCTAATCCCTACATCGTTGCATCTTGTATTGACTCTAAACTTCTCTGCCTTGTCTACAAGTGTCTACACAATTTTGTGCCAGCTTATCACAAGGATCTTATCACTGAATACACCCCTGCCAGAACTCTTCGCTCCCAGAACCAGCTCCTGTTAACAGTCTCCAAGATCCGCTTAGCTTCATTCGACAAGCGATCTTTCCAACTCTCTACCTGTCAACATTAAACTTTCTGATTCTCTGGCAAGTTTCAAATATCTTTTCAAGAGCCCTAACTTTGCTAACTCTTCAAACCCACAATGTATATTTTATTCAAATTAGATATTATCCTCTGATTTAACTGTAATGCCATGAGCATACACAAGTGCGTATTAAAAGGCGCATTATAAGTGTCCATTATTATCAATATTATTTTATTGCTGTGCTATAAATGAAATATAGAATACAGTCACTCATGACAAATTACATACATATATTTATCCATGTACACAGTAGGACTCACTCGCAGAATAAAGATGTAAATAGAAATTTCGATATGACTGTATTTTCCTTTCGCTCAGGAACAATTAAACTAATAATAATAGAATAGAGATATAAATCAAACTTTGGATATGATTATTATTTACTTTCGCGCATGAACAATTACACTTATCACTTTAAAATAAAGACATATATGAAAATATGATTATGCCTGTATTTTACTTTTTCTTATGACAAATTACACTTGTGCGAAAGGTGATGATAAAAGTCGTTTCACTTACATTTCTGAGTGAGTGAGTGAGTGAGAGAGTATTAGCAATATTCCAGCAATATCACAGCAGGGGACACCAAAACTGGTCCTCACACATTGTACCCCTGTGGGGAATTGAACCCGGGTTTTCTGAAAGACGAGCAAACGCTTTAACCACTAGGCCATCCCACCGTCCCAACATTTCTGAACAAGGCTGTACATAGTGTTTTTGATTCCAGAATACATGTAATTTTAAGTCTTTTAATGGTAGATTGCTACAGGTCAAAGTTAGAAACAAGGAAAAGCCTTAAATGCTTTAGGAATGATAGCAATTCATTTTAACAAAAGTAGATATTGTCAACTCAGAAATAAGTACAGATGCATAGGTATGGAAAAAATATTAGTAATAAAAAAACCCGTCCAGAACAGAACAGAAGAGTACAGTATTTATATCCCCAAAAAAATTCTAAATTATCCAGGAAGGAGTTGAAAATCACATCTAACCCCAGGAGAAATTTAGCTGATATCTCATATCAGAGACCATATACCGATATATATGGTCTCTGCTCAGATGAGACTTCGTATACTCATTTCGAAAAAATAAATTAAAAAGGCCTAAATGTAGTGAACAAGAAACAGGGCCTAGATTTTCGAAGCTCTCTTAGCGCTGCTAAGATAGTCGTAAGTTAATGTTAATGTATGGTACATTAAGTTACCTACAGCTGTCGAAGTGGGCGAATTTTACCAAAGTAATGCAGAGTAGCCTCCCTTGCAAACCCGGAAGTGAAGTTATTGCGGGAAATGCAAAATGACAGCTCTCATTCCGGGAGTATGTTCAGCCTTGACACAGGCGGTAGTTGACTCTCTGAAGAAGATTGGTGTTAAAACCGTGACAGATTTTATCACAGACGATGTGGAAAGCCTTGCACAAAGGTGCACGATACCATACAAGGTGAGTATTGTTACAGTTTTCGGACCTCGTTTACCAGGTTGGGGAAACCTACTGATTGGCCTATAAAAGGCCGAACGGGATATTATAGGCCATTCTGCCTATTTTGCTATAGGCCGATCGGGCTATATTTGACCATTATTATTTCACAAACTATCAATTTCCGCACGAAATGGTTTTATATGATCATAGAGATGAATAGTTAATGGACCTCCTCAGCTTGAAAAAAATAAGTTTTTGGACAAAATGGAAAGTTATATATTCAGGAAAAGATGTTTCATTTAAAGGTCACATGCAACCAAAAAATCAAACATAATTAAAACACAATTATCACTTATTCATGACATATAATATACATTGCTGGTTATGAAAAAACATATAAACAAAATTATAAGCTTACAATCGCAAATCAAAAGTGCAATATTGTGTACTTGGGTTTACTTCCCAAGAAACGAAGCAGCCGGGATACCGAACCCAGTCAGAGCGGGGGGTGTGCACTCAAGTGTAACGGCTGGTTCATTTGCAGATGCCCTCACGGCTCATTGTGTGTGTATATATAGAGATGATGGGTTTTGTAAATACATGCTCATTGTTTGTGTATAACATTTTGCAATCAACAGACATCATAACATGTCATGTGTACAAGTATCACACCTACCTGTCTGTGTAATTACATAATGTGACAGAGACCGAACTCGGGCCATAAATCAATGCATTTTGTTTATGGTGTATAGCCTGATTGGTGTTAAGTTCAAATTGCATGTGGTCAGTGATAGCAGCTGTGTATTGAATATTGTCATTAGCAGACAGGCAGGCAGACACACAGGTGTCAATAAAACAAGACATTGAGTTTTGTCTGTGACAACGACATATCTATATCACAGTTAGAAATTCTGTCAACGCTAAATAATGACATTGCTTTTAGGTATCGAACTGAGAAAGTGACGGTAAGAAGAACGTTTGGTGAAATAGACAAATGAAATTATATAAACAGTTAATTTACTGTCATAACATATAAAAAGCTTGCGCCTGTGAGATATCAACAAAACATTAGAAAAATAGCTCACACCAAAGCCTTCACTGAGTATTCACCGGACAACCCTCTTCCAAGCTACGCGAACCTATTTCACTGCGCACGTGCTATGAGCGCAGCCCAGCTGTTGAAACCAGTTTTCCCCCGAAAAGTTGGGGGAAAATTAGTGAAACGTTTGAACTCCTATTTCGCGCGGGTTTTTTCATCGCGTTATTTTTCAACTTTATAAGTTGAATTTGCATTTTTGAGATTTGTTTCGGTAAGTCCATACCGAAAGGTATCAGAATCTGCAAAGTTGTGTTTTACGTTGCATGTGACCTTTAAGAACACAATTTTGCACAGATTTTAATTTTGAAAACTAAAACTGAATATCTATGTCATTAATTTTCAGTGAAAATTGTCAAAAATATTATGGACTTATATTTAATTAGCTATTTCCAAAACTCCTTTATTATGTGATGAAAATGCTCAAAAAGGGTTTGAATGAAAACCTTAGAACATCAAAACTTGAATGATGTTAATATCCTCATGCGGAAATGCACAACTTTAAATTTATTTGATAAATATCATAATTAAAGGCCAATCGGCCTATAGCAAAATAGGCCGAACGGCCTATTATATCCCGTTTGGCCTATTATAGGCCGATCGGTAGGTTTCCCCAACCCGTTTACTTGTGTCCAGCTCGTACCCCACTCTCTTCGATCCCGTAGAGATCCGGATTTGAATTGATCTGGAGCAACACATACAATGCCGACCGGTAATTCCGCGCACCTAAGCACATCGATCGCAACACGGCAACTAACGTCTCTCATTTTTTTGGTTTACGTGACTAAACATGCTGATATGCATTTTATTTATCTAGAAATATAAGTTTTATTGACGACTATAAAATTCTAACGTTGCATTATGCCATACGGTTGACCTTACCGGCGTTCTGGCGACATCGCTTCCTGTCCGGTAATTCTGCGCAGCAACTGATGTGCATAAAATCCAGATGGAGATCCGAAGTATGGAAGCGTATTAGGGCCAGATTTTTTCCAAAAATCACTTCATCAATGTAAGGAAGAGTGTCTTATATTAAATCCAATTATTACTGGACTCACATGTAATAATGACTTGGTTGATGGGTTGTATCCCATTACCCCTACATCCCAGTACCCCTACAATTAGGTAAAACAGCACACGTCATTTACCTGTCTGGGATAATGAACTTACCCATGGGAGCGATTAAAGTGTTGTGTATACAACTTAGAAAGGATTAAGGTGTTCTTTGTTAGAGAAAGTTTGTTAAGATGAAATAAAGTAAATGTTGAAATTGACACTGAGATGAGACAAGTAATTTGAGATGACTTAGCATAGTATATAAATGTTGGAAACAAACTAACATGACATCAACATGGCTGGTCTTCGCAATGTTGAGTTTGTTATGTCATGGAGAGGTAGCACCCAAGTCCTATTTGAGGGTTATCTACACACTAAGAATGTCGAGAGACAGTCTTGTGTACACTGGAGGTGTGTCCAGTCAACTTGCAGAGGCAGAGTCACAACAGTCGGAAATGTTTTGAGGAATGCGACGGAGACTAATCATCCGCCAGAGGATAGCCAGAAGGTCTGGTTTGTCAGCAACCTGAGGAAGAGAGCGAGGGAGGAGTCAACATCGATGCACACCCTCTACAACAACGAGATTACGAACTTGGACGATGATAAGATACCATTGATGCCATCCTTCCCGACCATGAGCAGTGCTATGTACCGCCATCGACAGAAAACAATTCCTGTTTTGCCGCAGACGAGATCGGAAGTGAACCTTCAAGATTCCTGAATGCAGACAGCAGATGGTCGACCCTTCCTCCTGTTTTCAGATGGTGATCATGATAAGATCCTGGCATTTGGCACCATGGATAGTCTTCAGGCCTTGCAGTCTTCTGAAATCATCTATATAGATGGAACCTTTACTGCCTGCCCTGGTCTGTGGAATCAAGTGTACATCCTACATGCAAGACGTGGAACCACAACCTATCCCCTCATCTTCACCTTACTCCCCGACCGCCAGACTGATACCTACTCCAGACTCTTCAGACTCATCAAGAATGAAGTTCAGCAGAGACTTAACCGGCCGCTTGTCCCATCCTGTGTCCAGACAGACTTTGAGCTGGCGGCAATTCATGCTATGGAGAGAGAGTTTCCGACTGCTGAAGTGAAGGGTTGCTTCTTCCACTACTGTCAGGCCATTTGGAGGAAGGTCCAGGATCTTGGACTTGCTGTTGCTTACAGAGAGGATCTGGAAATATCCAGATGGGTAAGAAGAGCGGCTGGACTACCCCTTTACCCCAGAACAGTATCCAGGACATGTGGGTTGGCGCCATGGACGACACGCTCCCGATGTACCAAGAGCGCCACCTTCAACGATTACATGGTGACTACCTGGGTCGACGACGACGCCAGATTCCGTCTTGCCACTGTGGAACCATCACTCAACAACAGGTCCAAGGACAAACAACAACCTAGAGGGATTCCACAACCGCCTGAACTGGGGACTCCCACATCGACACCCAACATCTACCGATTTGTGGAGGTGATCAGGAAAGTTGAACACGCTGAGAGAGCGAACATTTCCCAGATAGACTTTGGAGCAGCACAGAGAAGCAGAAAGAGAGTGTACAGAGAGATGGAGCATCGTTTGTGTCGCCTCAAGGAGCAGATCAATCTTGGGCTGCAAACACCAATGCAGTTCCTTGACGCTGTGGGCCATCTCCTCAAATTGGGATAGAGACTTGTTTAAAAGACAAAAATTAACATTAAAAAGTTAACATGACCTGCTGCTCATATTCATGTCACGACCAGGAAGATATCTGTGTATTATATTCATTTATTTGTGTAATTAAATCCATAAATTAAAACATTAAATCTTGTGTTCATGTGTTTGGGCTAGTCCATTGTCCAGGTAACAGGTAACAGGAAGGGGATTAGCAGTGCATTGGACCGTGAACTTTGTTGTTATAAGCTGTAGGGGTAATGGGATGTAGGGGTAAGGATACCGGTTGATGTCATACACATCCCAGTTGCGTAGAGACATTTCTTGTCCAAAATGATTCAATTGATTGCGAGTGGTAGATCTATTGTGCATCAATATGTGTTAGTATGCTGGTTTCATATAAAGCAATCAAATGTATCTGTACAGGTTGGGGAAACCTACCGATCAGCCTATAATAGGCTAAATGGGATATAATAGGCCCTTCTGCCTATTTGCTATAACCGATTAAATTGGCCTATAATTATGATATTTATCAAATAAATTTGAAGTGGTGAATTTCCGCATGAGGATATTGACATCATTCAAGTTTTGATGTCCTAAGGTTTTCATTCAAACCCTTTTGAGCATTTTCATCACATAATAAAGGAGTTGGAAATTGCTAATAAAATAAAAGTCTATAATATTTTTGACAATTTTAACTGAAAATTAATGACATAGATATTCCATTTTAGTTTTCAAAATGAAAATCTGTGCAAAATTGTGTTCTTAAATGAAACATCTTTTCCTGAACATGATATAAATTTCCATTTTGTCCAAAAACTTATTTTTTTTCAAGCTGAGGATCGAGGTCCATTAACTATTCATCTCTATGGTCATATAAAACCGTTTTGTGCAGAAATTGATAGTTTGTGAAATAATTATAATAATGGTCAAATATAGCCAGATCGGCCTTTAGCAAAATAGGCAGAGCGGCCTATAACATCCCGATCGGCCTTTTATAAACCTATCGGTAAGTTTCCCCAACCTGCTGACTACAACTCATCAAGTAAACGGCACAATGTAGAATGGACCAGTCCTAGCTAGAGTACGCTTCTGTATTCAGATTTTGGCTAGTAGTACCAGTGCCGACAACAACCTCTTCAGCACTGATAACTGTTTATGCAGTGTATGCCTAAATATATCTCAACTCTAATGACAAAATTGTTATTCATTGTCAGTTTCTAAAACTGCTTCACTGACGACACATCATATTGTTTTTTGAAGCATCATGTCTTAGAGGACTGCATAATATTGTACCAGTGTATGAAATAAGCCCAAAACCCAGTCAGACATCAGGGCTGGTAACTTCAAAAAATGTTACCAGCCCAAAATGAATTTAACTAGACCAGACACCAAGATTTATGAAACATCTAAAAAAAATTACCAGACCACCGGGCTGGTTAGCTGTAAATTTTGACTGTCCGTCAGAAATCTAGATCGTCTCGGGCGGTCGGACGGGCCTTATTTCATACACTGAAAGTACATATTTATTTCTTCTTGTGTGATATTTAGCATATGGCAAAACACCTGATTGATGGAGGTGCAACCATAAGGTGATTTCAAGGCGACCCTAAATCCTTTGTTTATTGTTGAGTTTAGAGATCAAAGATGGGACACTGTGAATGCTTTGCTATTTAGACCAAACAAACAGTACTAAGGAAATGAAATGTACTTGCACATGGTGTAACCTTAGGTAATAACAGGTTGCACATGATGTTCAATGCAAAATTATATTTACTGCTTTTTATAATAAATTATATTGATGATTTAGAACATCATTACAATGAAATTATTAATATTTCTTCTGGATAAATTAACAGAGATCAAGTCTGTTAATTTTTCCAGAAATAAATATCTGGAAAATATTAACATGCACTGTGTCCAACTTGTATAAATGTTAGCGGTGGTCCGATTAATTGAAATAATCGAAGACTGGTCACAATGACTAAACGACCAAGCAATCGATCATGTTTTCTCATAATCGAACACAAACAATTCCAGAACACTTGTTTGCATTATAACAATATTTTTCACAAGGTTGGTTTTGTCTGTTACATTTCATAAACATTACAAGCTCGTTCCAAGTCAGGATTGAATTTATCTTAAAGACTCCAGGAAATTTATGTTCCTAACATACTAGTCATCCTTTAAAGATGTTAAATTTGCACATGCATTTTGTGGAATTTACAAAAAGACTCATAAGAACTACATGTTTTTCTTTGTTTTTTGTGCAGTAACAAACATATCCAGAAAAATTTGATAAATGAGGCTGACCAATTGTTTTTGATGATTGATCGGTTGTAATGAACCAATCATCAATTATGAGATTATATCCAATTCCCAACACTAATAAATATGAGGTTGACTTTGACAGTTTTTCAGGTAGCACCAGTACCAGTGAATTTCTATAAATTATCATGATACTCAATGCATGGCATGGAAGGCTTCGGGTTACTAACTCGCTGTATTGCTTCACTCATATTGTTGAATAGCTTCTATCAAAACCATGTTGTGTTATTTGCAGGATCTTGTTGCAATCAAAAGAGTTCTTCTCGCCCAGCATTCAGCTTATCCCATACTTGGTCATGAAGCCTATTCAAGTGCTTGTTCTTCTCTTGCCTTCTTCTCCACGGGGTGTGAAAGGTAAGTGGTTGAGAAAGTCAAAAAACATTCTTTGTTATCCTGGCTGACCGACACCGTGGTGTAGTGGTAAGAGTGTCCGCCTGGAGAGCGGAAGGTCACGGGTTCGATCCCCGACCGTGTCGTACCAAAAGACGTTAAAATATGGTACTTGTTGGTCCCTGTCTGGCGCTCGGCATTAATGGGTACAACAAGGACTGGTCGGCTCGGAGTCAGTATAATGTGTCTGAGTGGGGTATTCATGCTTCACTGCGGCATGGTATCTCAGTGGGCTAGCACTATAAAACCAGCTTAAGTCTGGGCTAGTACAAGCAGCCGCACATACACATACACACGCATGCATGTCATCATATGAGTGCAGGGCTCCAGATAATTTTTCAACATCAGGAGTAAGTACTCCATATATTTTCAATATAGGATTACTGGATAAACTTAAAAGTACATTTTGAGTACTGAATGGAATTTAATGGCATATCAGTAATCTTGTGTTTCGTTTCATATATGCACCACAACATTACTACTCTTGTGTAAACAGGTCAATAAACAATAAACAACACTCTTTCAGATAAATACGTCTGTAAATGATTCCAAGACCGTACAGCATTGCTGTGGTGTGTATGTACTACGTTTTCTAAATTATTTCCTACCGTGCATACCGTATCGTGCATATTTTTATCCGTAATGCATACCGATATCACGGCCCTTAGGCCAAAAAAAATAAATGTTGTGGTTCCGATTTCCTACATTTCAGAACTAGGGTAGGTAGCTAGGTTTTAATTTTTTTTTTGCAAAATATTTTTACATTACTCATGTGTCAGAAAATAAATTTAATTTATTATGTGGTGAGTAAAATTGTTAGGCTCGGCGGGAATATTTAGGGTCGGTCGGGAAATCGGAACCACAAGCTTTTTTTTTTTAGGCCTTATCTGGAGAATAAGGCGATATATTCCCAAGCACGACGTTAAACCCAATTTCACCTCACCTCACCTACAAACCAAACACGACATGGAGGGGAATTTTTTTTTATATTTAAGTTCTTTAATAAGTTGCAGAGCTCCAGATAAGATTTAGCTCATGTGGGTACTGTACCCACTGTAATTTGTTGGAGTGGGTATTTTGAATGTTGAGTGGGTATTTCATTTTCCGTTATCCACTGCTTTCAAACATGTGCGTATTTCAGTGATTTTACTCACCTAAGTATTATGTCATTGAGTAAGTTTACTAAGCAGGTATGTTCTGCCTTATGTCATACCAACTTAAATATAATGGAAATGATTTCATAAAAAAATCACTCATCCTATATGACAGTACAACTTGATAGCAATCGATGTCTCTTTCATTACGCAAGCGATTTTTTATAAATATAGTTTGTACGCATTTGTTTTAAACTTTTTGTGTATCTAACATTTTAAATGCGTAATTGGTACACAACAATTATTTTTCAATGCATAATTTGAAATTTTCTATGCGTATTTTACCCGGATACGCAGCTTATCTGGGCCTCTGAAGTTGTGTATCTTTGAGAGTATAATTCTTGTACCACATGGTCTCTGTAGGCCACAAAGCCCGTGAAGATCCGTGTTTGTCATAAAAGGCAACAAACGGTATCGAGTGGTCAGGCTTGCTGACTTGGTTGACACATGTCATGGTAACCCAGTTGCATAGATTGATGCTCATGGTGTTGATCACTGGATTGTCAGTTTCAGACTTGGTATTTACAGACCGCTGCTATGTAGCTGGAATACTGCTAAGTGCAGCAATAAACAACAAACAAAATCCAGAACTCCAGATAAGATTTAGCTCATGTGGGTACTGTACCCACTGTATTTTTTGGAGTGGTATTATGAATGTTGAGTGGGTATTTAATTTTCCGTTACCTACTTCTTTCAAATATATTTGTATTTCAGTGATTTTACTCACCTAAGTATATGCCATTGAATATGTGTACTAAACATGTATGTACTGCCTCATGTTATACCTAATCAAAACCAACTTAAATATAATGGATATGATTTCTTAAAAAATCACTCATCCTATACTGACAGTACAACACTAGTCCTATACTAACAGTACAACTTGATAGCAATTGATGACTTTTTCATTATGCAAGCGATTTTTATAAATATATTCCGTACGCATTTGTTTTAAACTTTTTGCGTATCTAACATTTTAAATGCGTAATTGGTACGCAACAATTATTTTTCAATGTGTAAATGGAAATTTTCTATGTATATTTTACCTGGATACACAGCTTATCTGGGCCTCTGAAATCTTTAGGCCATGCCTTCCCCACCTGTGACACAAAATATGAGTGTGGGTTTAATCTTTAATGTTGCTTTGAACAATATATCAGTTATATCACTGTGTGGCATATGATAAAAGTTAGAGATACTGGAGTGAAAACAGAATTTGAGTTGCAAACATGGTAAACATTATGTAACTGTATCTTGACAGTTCTTCCAAATAAACATAGATTTTGTTTGGGGTACATTATTTTATATGTGGACAACTGATGAGTAGAAATATATGAATTTTAACAAACCTTATGGTGAATGTTTTAAAGGGACAGTGTCACACATTTTCGACAATATTTGGGTCTATATTTTATATTGGGGGCATATGCACTTAGTTTAGCTTCCTATCGATGCAATAAAAGACTTTTTATCCCTTATGACTTGCCTGAAATTGATAATTGAAACTTTGAGGCTGAATAGCTTCCAAACAGAAAAATACTTGCCATATATGGAATATCGAAAAGTGTCGCACATGGAGTTGTCGGCGTTTGCCGAACTCGCCTCAATCACAAATTGCCCTAAAAAGAGTGTTCCCAGGGATGTAACTCTATGGGTTTCGCTTGAAATAATGTTCGGCAAGTAGAGTGAGTGAGTTTAGTTTTACGCCGCACTCAGCAATATCCCAGCTATATGGCGGCGGTCTGTAAATAATCGAGTCTGGACCAGACAATCCAGTGATCAACAGCATGAGCATCGATCTGCGCAATTGGGAACCTATGACATGTGTCAACCAAGTCAGCGAAACTGACCACCCGATCCCATTAGTCGCCTCTTACGACAAGCATAGTCACCTTTTATGGCAAGCACATGGGTTGCTGAAGACCTATTCTACCCCGGATCTTCACGGGTCTTCGGCAAGTAGTGGGCACGAGAGTCAATTTAATGCAACTTTGCAATAATTCATTCAAACTTTTTGATTTAGTATTGTAACCTAAATACATACTTTTGGGGGAATAAATTACATGGTAGCTTCCCTGAGGCCTGATGGTTACTTTTATTGGGAGAAGTGCGTTATTTATTTTTAGAGAAGTTTGGTGTGACATAGTGCCTTTAAGAAAGTGTTCAAAGGTTTATTATATTTTATATTTTTATATTTGATGAGGAGCTGTGGGGTGGCCTAGTGGTTAAAGCGTTTGCTCATCAGGCCTGAAGACTCGGGTTTAATTCCCCACATGGGTACAGTGAGTGAAGCCCATTTCTGGTGTCCCCCAATGTGATATTGCTGAAATATTGCTAAAGCAGTTAAAACTCACTCACTCACTCACTCTATTTGAAGCAATTTCTTTTTCAGCCTGGACTTGATCTTAGATGGAGGTCTGTATACAGGGGAGGTAACTGAGGTTGCTGGCGAGATAGCAGCTGGGAAGACACAGGTACATATAGATATATAATACTGGAGTTATTTCAAAACCCTTGATGCCCTGATGAACTTGTGTTGATGAAGATATATTTTTGACCCATGATATACCGACAAGGCCCCAGATTTTAACCATTTAGAATTTATTCACATTTTCAATCATGTGGCATTTAGAAGCTGGTTTGACGAAGAGGAACAATTTTTTATGGATAGACAACTTCTTTACTGCAATAGATGCAACACTTTGGTGTAGATGCTTACACTGTTGGGGCAGCACTTTTATTTTCTGTGTTCCTCATCGCACGACCGACCCTAATTTTAGTGCTGACCAAACAAAAAAAAACAATTTTTTTTTCATTCCAACACTGCCGACTCGAAAAAGTCACCACACATAGAAAATCAGAGTTATGTCCCTTGTCAACAGACTGGCCATGATGTCTGCTACTAGCATAGGCGACAAAAACATATCAATTGATCTACAAAGATTTCATTATTAAATATTTTATTAATAGGTGTTATCTATGATGTTTGAGGTGAGTTTATCATTAAAGCCAATTGTTCATCTTTTAATCAGTCGCTGACACAAGTCCAGCGAATGCCAAGAAATTGTAATAAGAATTACAATAAATGAGAATCAAGAACACTATTCAGATAAAAAAAAATTCTCCCGACCAACCGACCCATGTTCAGAATTTGGTGGCTACATGAAACACACACACACAAAATGATGCCCTTATCAAGCAAGTGATCACTATCCCTCAAAAATTGTTCCTCCTCTTTGGTTTTTTATATAAATTATTTCCTCGGATCAGTTTCTGCATTTGTTCAACACTGAAAAATGTTAAATTTAGGTCTCCTCAGGCAAGAGCCTTGTTTGGAGATGCCTCTGTTCCTCCAGCAGTGAATGGGTACCTGGTAGGATGGTAATGTGACTGTTACCATTTTACCATCCCATAATGCATCTTGGGCTGTGTACTCAACAGGTAGCTGGTAATGTCAATGTATGTCCACATATATTCCTTGATCTGGATAATGATGTAGTGCCTTGAGCATGCTTTTAGATGTGCATTAGTGCATTTTGAATATGAACATTATTATTCTAGGACGTGCAGCTTGAGATGTGTATATAGTGCACAACATATGTCAAGGTGTGGAGAGGGTGATAGAGATCTTGATATTGTGTTTGTTGTTGACAGATATGTCTAAGCAGTGCAGCGTGCGTGTCGTGTCAGCAGCGGGTGGTGTATGTCGACACGTGCGGGGCGTTCAGTGCGGAGAGGGTGATGGAGATGCTTCAGCTCCAGAGCTACACCCAGGTAGGACACACATCATCCCATTGCTGGTGTACTTTCAGCACAGAACATCATCCCTGTCAGGGCTCGATTAAGTGCTTTGTTACTTGCACTGGTGCAACCCAATATTGCAAGGTGCAACCTAGTTATTAGTCTAACTTGCACCAGGTGCAAGTCATTTTTTGAGAAATAAATCAACAATAAATCTAACAATATAAGCATAAATATGTCAGCTCCATTTTGTTCTAAACTTTGAATAGCTATGGCAACGAAACATTGCTATTCATAGACACGTCTCGGCTATGATAGCTCAAGATTGTAAACAGGGATCAGCTGTGTCTCTGTGTTGCTATGGTTTCAATGGTACTACATGACAGAAATATGTTTATGTGCACACGAAACCTCTGATGTTTTAACACACTACGTTGCAACTGGAATTTGGCTGGTGCAACTAGGTTTTTATCTTAGGTTGCACCTGGTGCAAGTAGGTTAACATCTCTTAAATCAAGCCCTACCTGTGGGTGTGCTGTAAGCATAGTACATCATCCCTGTGTAGGTGTACTGACAGAATAGTACACCATCTCTTTGAAGGTACACCTTCCCCTTGTAAGCGAACTGTTGGTTCAGTACATCATCTCAGTATAACCCTTGTCTAGGAATGACCACACCCTAGTGTCATTAAACAGTTATTGGCCAACGAATGACTGAGATGTAACTAATTAACTCTGAGATATGTGAAACCCTTTGATGCTGGTTGCTTAGTAAAGGATTTCTGTGTATCCAGCGTATGCTCCACTGTTCCCCAGGAAACGTGATCATATGCCAAACTCTGCACTCTGATTTTAAGCGGAGTTACTCTCGATTTTCAAATACAAAATCTGCTGTCCGATTTCTCTTTAAAAACTCAGATTTTTAGAAAAAAATCTGAATTTATGTTGACAGTATACAATTTCGCAAGTCAGCGGTGATTTATTTGAGTGAACACTGGTAAAAGCATTCAGAAGTTTAGCGTGTGATCCTTTGGGTGTCGATTGTGTATATTGCATGTTATTGACGATGAAGTTTCACAAAGTTTTTCTGAATGCATGTTATAGTCCGTATGAAAGTGAAACAAAATGGCAGAGCCGACCATGCTCTCACCCTCAACTCACACCTTTGGTACTCAGGCCTGGCTTTCAGTCATCATGACTCTGTTTTCCTTAGATTCAGGGTTGGCATCTCTGCATGACGTACATTTCTGTTTTTTATCTTTTCTCTACAGAATCCTGAAGAAGTGATGTCCAGAATACGCTGCTTCCAGCCTCATGATATATTCACCTTGTTTTCTGTGTTAGAGGATGTCCGAGTCCAGCTTGTTAAACAGGTATTTTGTCTTTCTCACATTTGGGAGTAGAGTCAATAATGTATACATTTTGTACTATGTCGATCAAGGTAAGGATAGCCTGTGAAAGGTGTGACAAGATCTCAAAGTTGCAAGCATGGAAGCGGGGCACGAGTCTGAATGCAGCCGCCTCCGACGCCTTTTGGTGGTAGTAGTTAGTAGTGTTCCGATTAATTGAAATAATCGAAGATTGGTTGCAGTGACCAAACAACCAAGCAATCGATCACATTTTCACATAATAGAACAAAACAATTATGTCTCTACTGTTATATAGAGTTGTGACGATATATCGTAGTATCGATAATCGTGATACTTTTTCTGACAATAAATATATCGATACTTTTTTCCGTATCGTGATATGTATTGTTGACCTTTAAATTGGGATTTTTTTTCCAGAAATTGACGGTTATGTCAAAATTTACACTGTTTCTTGTTATCAAGATACACTTTTTTAAAGACTAACTAAAGATAGCATATCGTGATATGCATCGTATCGAATCGTATCTCTCTATGATATCGCGATACGTATCGTATCGTAAAATTTCTGTATCGTCAGACCTCTACTGTTATAGTGTTTGAAACACTTGACAGTAGATCATATCTAACGAATTAGTCAGGGCCTGAAAACATGTTTAAATCTTAGAAAAGACATGGCTAAGTATGTCTTGAAGACTCCAGGTTGGTCACAGAGAGCCCTTGGATGAGTGACCGTGTGTGGCAGCTTGACTCCTGAGAATTTCCAGGACTTCAGTCCTGCCCCACAATGAAGCACATGTGACACATGCCTCACTTTTGTGATAACTTTCTTTCAGACGGACAGTTTCTACAGTGGCCTGAAACTATTGGTTGTAGACAGCGTGACATCGGTCATCTACCCAGTGCTTGGTGGTCAGCAGATGGATGGTGAGTACCAACAGGTCTTTGAACAGCATTTAGAAGTGATACACACAAGGAGGAGAGTTTGATGGAAGTGAACTTCTATGTTATGAGGACCACATTATAGTCACTTACCTCCCTTGCCTGGGGTAGATGAATCAGGAAACCAAATGTTGCTTGATCTGTTTAGCAGTCTGTTTGACTTGACCATTGTACATGTCAGTATGACTTTGCTACATCCTATGTCCCTGTGTTGGTGTTCATCTATAATGTACCGCCTCCATGGTGTAGTGGTTAGAGCATCCGCCCGGAGAGCGGAAGGTTGCGGGTTCAATCCCGACCGCGGTTTTTGACATACCAAAAGACGTTAAAATATCGTACTTGTTGGTCCCTGCCTGGCGCTCGGCATTAATGGGTACAACAAGGACTGGTCGGCTCGGAGTCAGTATAATGTGTCTGAGTGGGGTATTCATGCTTCACTGCGGCATGGTATCTCAGTGGGCTAGCACTATAAAACCAGCTTAAGTCTGGGCTAGTACAAGCAGCCGCACATACACATACACACGCATGCATGTCGTCATATGAGCGAAATATTCTCAAGTACGATGTTAAACCCAATTTCACCTCACCTCACCTCATCTATAATGTGAATGTACACAGGTCACGGTCTGATGGTTCAGCTTGGACACACCCTCAAGATGCTGGCTGTGGAGTTCTCCATTGCTGTCCTGGTGGGTCAAACAAGTTGGTTTTAACCATTGACACTATTTACTATACAATACAGCGGGGTTTAGAATATATTTTGTATCCCGATATTATGGGTGAGATATGATTCGTACACCAGTCCTGTACTTTAGTTGATGTTTCTTTTATTTTGTAGTCGAGTCATGACCTCAGACTTATGACAATCACTTCCAAACTTCTTAACATTTCTTAGCAAAGAATCTGAGAGGACATCACCAAATCCCATCACTGATTTTCTGTTCAATAACTAACTAATTCTTTTCTTGTTGGGCGGTGGGGTAGCCTAATGGTTAAAGCATTGGCTCGTCATGCCGAAGACCACGGTTCAAATCCCCACATGGGCACAATGTGTGAAGCCCATTTCTGGTGTCCCCCGCCGTGATATTGCTAGAAATATTGCTAAAAGCGGCATAAAACCAAACTCAGTCAGTCAGTCAGGCTTCCTTGTTTGCAAAAAGCTAATGCCAATTAAAATCAAAAGCACAAAAATGTTATGGATTGAGGTTATATTTCGCTTTTGTTTTATAGTACATTAATGCTTGTTGCTTTCATTATTAGTGGAGAGAAAGTGATGATAAGTTCCCCAGGATTTAACATCTCGTTAAAGATAATAGCTCTTAATGCTTATAGAGGAGACTAACACTTAGTCCCTGAATATATATAATTTTGATACCAGCAAATAAACCCATTCAAATTGAAAAGGAGTCCCAGTGAGTTAGGAGCATGAACCTGAAGGAATTTAGACTTGCTTCATTTAGGGCTTTAGCATTGCATAGAGGGCTGTGTAGTAGGTAAAATAGTGTGGTTCACGGACTGTGAAAGAACCTACTTATATGGTGATGTCCTGTGGGCATGCGGGTGTGTGCGTGAGCGTGTCCATATAGCTGGAATATTGCTGAATGTGGCGTTAAACAACAACCAAACATTGCAGTATATGGAGTATATGGAGTATATGCAGTATATGTATAAAGTATATGCAGTATATGGAGTATATGCAGTATATGCAGTATATGGAGTATATGCAGTATATGGAGTATATGGAGTATATGCAGTATATGGAGTATATGCAATATATGGAGTATATGCAGTATATGGAGTATATGCAGTATATGGAGTATATGCAGTATATGCAGAGTATATGCAATATATATGCAGTATATAGGAGTATATATATGCGGTATGGATAAGAGTATATGCAGTATATAGTATATGGAGTATATGGATATATGGAGAATATGCAGTATATGGACTTCAAGATGACCGATGTTTACCACTTACTTCCAAGAACCAGGCAGGATACCGAGGAGAGATGTCCTCTTTTAACAGTTGTATTTGTGACATGGCTTGGGATCTATTCACTAACCTGCTGTTTGGGCACGCACTCTATCCATTCAACTTTGAGGTGATCACTTTCAGTGTTAAGCTTTGTTCACTTAGTTTTGGAAGGATATCGCATGGAAATAGTTGCTGGCAACATCTACAGAGATTAAAATATAAAGGGAAATATCACTGTTTCAGGTGAGCAATAATGTGGTATTTGGTGCTGATGGTCAGCGTGTGGCCAGTCTAGGCCGGACCTGGTCACACGTCCCCCACACACGATTAATCATTGAGAAGACTGGACGCTCCGAGCACCGGAGAGCTGTAGTGGTCAAGAGCTCTCGTCTGGTATGTGCTCGCTGATTTCTATGATCACAGAGTAAGAATATAGTGGAGATCAAGAGGTCTTGTTCTCTCTGAAATACAGGCAATCACGTGATTTATTAGTTTAAGCACAAATGAAGATCTATTTGTCTTCAGCAACCAATGCCTGGCATGAAAGTCGACTGGCAGGATCAAGTGCTCAGACTTGCAGTAGTGGTGTTCCGATTAATTGAAATAATCGAAGATTGGTTGCAGTGACCAAACGACCAAGCAATCGATCACATTTTCTCATTATCGAACGATTTTGGAACTACTGTTTTAGTCTTTGAAATACTTGACAATGGAACGTATCTTAGAAATTGTCAGGGCCTGAAAACGTGTTTAATTCACTACACTATCTGAAAAGTCATGACTGAATATTTCTCTAAGACTCCAGGAAGATTATGTTCATGATATATCAGTCATCACTTTAAAGAAGCAGGTTGCATCATGTTATACATATCTGTAATTACAACCTGGATAGGACAATCTGAAAAATGACGCTAACCAATTTTTTCGATGATTGTTCATTGGTAATGAAGCAATCATCAATTGTGAGATTTCAACCAATTCCCAACACTAGCTTGCAGGCTTGGTTAGCAGACACCATTGTATCCCAATTGTGTGGATTAATGCTCACAGTGTCAATCATTGGATTGTCTGGTGCTGACCTGATCATTTACAGAGGTCGTCATATGTGTGAGGGACAGAATGTTTTGCAGGTTGTAGACAGTTTTGGTTGAAGAAATGAGCAAGTTAACATTTTACATCGCATGAGCATTATTTCAGCCATACAGCAACTTTTGAACAAATATAGATGTGTGTGGCACTTACAAGCGAAATTGCTGATACACAATATGAAGCTGAAATCTGAGGTAGCCTAATGGTTTAAAGCGAGAATATTTCGCTCATATGACAAAATGTGCATGAGTGTGTATGTTCGTACTAGCCCACAAGCTGGTTTTATAGTGCTAGCCCACTGAGATACCATGCCCATGAATACCCCACTCAGACACATTATCCCTGACTCCGAGCCGACCAGTCCTTGTTGTACCCATTAATGCTAAACCAGCAAGTACCATATTTTAAACTCATGTCGGTCAACCTCGACCTTCAAGTGAAATTGGCTCTAACCACTACACCATGAAGGCGGCTGATATCTGAGTGAGTGATTAGGGATTGATGCTGCTTTTCACCAGTGTTTCAGATATCTCAAGGTGTGTCAGCTTAATGTGGAGGAAAGCCACAAGTGGTTTCAGATGTTTACCATTTTGTGAAATCAACAAACCTTTTGACAAACCTAGAAATATTTGGGGTGTGCTGGAATTAAAAGATTCAGGTTCCTGGCATGCGAAAGAGAGGTAACTCCACACGGCAAGTTGCAGCACCTTAGATTCCAGGGCTACCCAGGTGACCAGCTGAATCTGAAACCATAATCAGCAGATGCTGGCCTTATGAAGGGAAGTAACTCTGCACGAAAATGTTCCTGGGATGACAATGCTCCCACTCCCCTAGACTTGAAACTTGTTTTTTTGCTGCAGTCAGCTATGTTCTAGCTGTTGTAAGCCATCAGTGCAGTGTAGTAATATCCTTTGTGCAACATTAAGGGCGCTTAGATTGTTTTGTATTTCATTGTTGCAGGTAACCCCAGTATCAGCATTGTTCACAATACCCTCACTGGAGCCTGATAGTTGACAGCAACATTCCTGGTACCTGATTGGAGCCTGATAGTTGACAGCAACATTGTTGGTACCTGATTGGAGCCTGATAGTTGACAGCAAATTGTTGATTGCATTGTTGGTACCTGATTGGAGCCTGATAGTTGACAGCAACATTGTTGGTACCTGATTGGAGCCTGATAGTTGACAGCAACATTGTTGGTACCTGATTGGAGCCTGATAGTTGACAGCAACATTGTTGGTACCTGATTGGAGCCTGATAGTTGACAGCAACATTGTTGGTACCTGATTGGAGCCTGATAGTTGACAGCAACATTGTTGGTACCTGATTGGAGCCTGATAGTTGACAGCAACGTTGTTGGTGATTGGAGCCTGATAGTTGACAGTTGACAGCAACATTGTTGGTACCTGATTGGAGCCTGATAGTTGACAGCAACATTGTTGGTACCTGATTGGAGCCTGATAGTTGACAGCAACATTGTTGGTACCTGATTGGAGCCTGATAGTTGACAGCAACATTGTTGGTACCTGATTGGAGCCTGATAGTTGACAGCAACGTTGTTGGTACCTGATTGGAGCCTGATAGTTGACAGCAACGTTGTTGGTACCTGATTGGAGCCTGACAGTTGACAGCAACGTTGTTGGTACCTGATTGGAGCCTGACAGTTGACAGCAACTTTGTTGGTACCTGATTGGAGCCTGATATCTGACAGCAACATTGTTGGTACCTGATAGTTGACAGCAACATTGTTGGTACCTGATAGTTGACAGTTGACAGCAACATTGTTGGTACCTGATTGGAGCCTGATATCTGACAGCAACATAGTTGGTACCTGATTGGAGCCTGATAGTTGACAGCACATTGTTGGATACCTGATTGGAGCCTGATAGTTGACAGAACACTGTGGATACCTCAATGGAGCCTGGTAGTTGAGAACATTGTTGGTACCTCATTGGAGCCTGGTAGTTGAGAACATTGTGGATACCTCAATGGAGCCAGGTACTTGTCAACATTGTGGGTACATCATTGAGAGCCTGGTAGTTGACAGAACATTGTGGGTACCTCCAATAGAGCCTGGTAGTTGAGAACATTGTGGAGTACGTCATTGGAGCCTGATAGTTGACAAACATTGTGGGTACCTCATTGGAGCCTGATAGTTGACAACATTGTGGGTACCTCATTGAAGCCTGATGGTTGACAACAACATTGTTGGTACCTCATTGGAGCCTGATAGTAGACAGCAACATTGTTGGTACCTCATTGGAGCCTGATAGTTGACAACAACATTGTGTGGTACCATTGGAGCCTGATAGTTGACAACATTTTGGGTACCTCATTGAAGCCTGATAGTTGACAACATTGTTGAGTACGTCAATGGAGCCTGATAGTTGACAACATTGTGGGTACCTCATTGAAGCCTGATAGTTGACAACATTGTGGGTTACCTCAATGGAGCCTGAAAGTTGACAACAACATTGTGTGTATGTCATTGGAGCCTGATAGTTGACAACATTGTGGGTACCTCATTGAAGCCTGATAGTTGAGAACATTGTGGATACCTCAATGGAGCCTGATAGTTGACAGGAACCTTGAGGATACCTCATTGGAGCCTGATAGTTGATAACATTGTGTGTGGCATCAATGGAGCCTGATAGTTGACAACAACATTGTGTGTACATCATTGGAGCCTGATAGTTTACAACATTGTGGGTACATCATTGGAGCTTGATAGTTGACAATATTGAGGTACCTCACTGGAGCCTGATAGTTGAGCAACATTGTGGGTACGTCATTGGAGCCTGAAAGTTGACGACAACATTGTGGGTAGGTCAATGGAGCCTGATAGTTGACAACCATTGTGGGTACCTGCGTCATTGGAGCCTGATGGTTGACAACAACATTGTGTACCCGTCATTGGAGCCTGATAGTAGACAACATTGTTGGTACCTCATTGGAGCCGGATAGTTGACAACAACATTGTTGGTACGTCATTGGAGCCTGATAGTTGACAACATTTTGGGTACCTCATTGAAGCCTGATAGTTGACAAACATTGTTGGTACGTGATTGGAGCCTGATAGTTGACAACATTGTGGGTACCTCATTGAAGCCTGATAGTTGACAGCAACATTGTTGGTACCTGATTGGAGCCTGATAGTTGACAACAACATTGTTGGTACCTGATTGGAGCCTGATAGTTGACAAACATTGTTGGTACCTGATTGAAGCCTGATAGTTGACAGCAACATTGTTGGTACCTGATTGGAGCCTGATAGTTGACAGCAACATTGTTGGATACCTGATTGGAGCCTGATAGTTGACAGCAACATTGTTGGTACCTGATTGGAGCCTGATAGTTGACAGCAACATTGTTGGTACCTGATTGGAGCCTGACAGTTGACAGCAACATTGTTGGTACCTGATTGGAGCCTGATAGTTGACAGCAACATTGTTGGTACCTGATTGGAGCCTGACAGTTGACAGCAACTTTGTTGGTACCTGATTGGAGCCTGACAGTTGACAGCAACTTTGTTGGTACCTGATTGGAGCCTGATAGTTGACAGCAACATTGTTGGTACCTGATTGGAGCCTGATGGTTGACAACAACATTGTTGGTACCTGATTGGAGCCTGACAGTTGACAGCAACTTTGTTGGTACCTGATTGGAGCCTGACAGTTGACAGCAACTTTGTTGGTACCTGATTGGAGCCTGATAGTTGACAGCAACATTGTTGGTACCTGATTGGAGCCTGATAGTTGACAGCAACATTGTTGGTACCTGATTGGAGCCTGACAGTTGACAACAACATTGTTGGTATGCTGATTGGAGCCTGATAGTTGACAGCAACATTGTTGGTACCTGATTGGAGCCTGATAGTTGACAGCAACATTGTTGGTACCTGATTGGAGCCTGATAGTTGACAGCAACATTGTTGGTACCTGATTGGAGCCTGACAGTTGACAGCAACTTTGTTGGTACCTGATTGGAGCCTGATAGTTGACAGCAACATTTGTTGGTACCTGATTGGAGCCTGACAGTTGACAGCAACTTTGTTGGTACCTGATTGGAGCCTGACAGTTGACAGCAACTTTGTTGGTACCTGATTGGAGCCTGATATCTGACAGCAACATTGTTGGTACCTGATAGTTGACAGCAACTTTGTTGGTACCTGATTGGAACCTGATAGTCGACAACAACATTGTGGATACCTCAATGGAGCCTGACAACATACAAAATGTCTTGGTAGTCTGCCAGCTTTTAGCAACGTCCAACAAAAACAATCTGGTATCCTCACTGGAGTCCATCAGCCCAAAACAACATTGTTGGTACCCTCACGAGAGTACATCAACAAAACGTCTTTGGTACCCTCTTGGGAGTCTAAGTAAATGTCAGCTAAACATTCTTGGTATCATATGAGAGTCTGTCTACCAAAAGAACATTCCAGGTACTGCAGTAGTCTCACTGCAACTGGACAGCTAATAACATTCTTGGTACCCTCATGAGTCCCGAAACTGACAACACTATTCATAATCTTATTGGAGTGCATCAGCTGAGACCAGTCTCTGTAACCTCGGAGTCCGTCAGCTAATAACATTCTTGGTCCCGCCACTCATGTGCGTCAGTCGGCAGCAAGTATAGGTTTCCTTCATTAACGGTTCAAACCCATGGATTCCTGATGCCAAAATATTCTTGAAATATAATTGAGTATGACAAGGGAAGCGTTTTGTGCTTGAAACATCTCATGCTGGTTTGTTTCATAGAAGTATATTAAGTAGTTCAAGACATTTCCTTCTGTATAAAAAAAGATTATTACAGTGATGGGTGTACTGTTCACAAGAAAACAACACTTTGAGGTAAATCAAGCCGTGTCGGTAATAGAAGTTATATATTTTAAAGTTGTTTGTTTCTCAGTACTGTTTTACATGTATGTGCTGTTTCCATGTTACCATTGTATCATAAATCACATTTTATTTGACGTATGTTTGTGTCCTGTATTCAGGATTATACCACAAGGAATATATTGCATCCAATACCCACTTTAAATTTAACTGATATACAGAGCTTGAAAAAGCCTGAAATTTGAACATCTTACCCTAAAAAGGCCCTAAATTTGTTTAAGCCTTGAAAATGCCACAATTGTCCTTGAAAAGACCCTAAACTTAGCATACTTGTCAAACTGTCATTAGTTTACAGGAAATTTATATATCAAAATGCTTTAATTAATCTCCATTGCCATGCCAACGTTCCCTCAGCAGCGATAGATCCAAGATTTCTTTCCCTTTGAAGGTCAGTCCCACATTCTACCTATTTTCATGTTTCTATTTTGTTTTGTGTTTCTATTTGGCCTTTAAATGGCTCTAAAATACCTTCCATATGATCGCAGATAAACTGTATGAGCCCTGGATGTAATACTCAGATAATAAGAAAAAGATAAGTTCCATCGGTCCATATCAGCTTTTTAAAACTCCATCACAAAGGATATCGTTTCTGTTTCATGTTGGTCATCTTTAGACCTTCATATTCTTGCTTGAAAGTTATTTCTGGGTCCCAGTCCTCACAAGGACCAATGTAATTCAGCCATGTTGATTCCAGAAACTGCTAGATTATGTGAGACGATGGTGTGGATATTAGATTTAACACCAAATCAATAAAGAATGGAGCAATAATCTGACCAAGCACGTGCTTATACTAATCGGGACTAACACTCAGTTAGTGCTGATCGTTTGGATACCATGCTGCAGGTATCCATGGATATCCCACAATGACACTGTATACTAAATACTCCAAATGAAAAGTCTTTACTGAAAATATAACAAAATAGGGAGATAAAATATAATTAAATGAAAATGTTCATCAATCTGTCCACTGTCTGTTTCCAGATCAGAAGTCTAAACACGTGAATATATATTGTTGATACTTGCTCTTCAGATCAATCTAGTGGAAACCTGTGCCTTTTGATGATTTTAGACATTGAAAAATACCATAACTTCTCTCACTCTCCTACCCAGAGTTCCATGCGGCAAGCCAGCATAGTATCTCTTCAACAGGCCAGAAAAATGTGACAATTCGTCACATCTTGCACCGTCCACTCAATATAATTTACATATTTCTCAACTCTTTTATTTTTGACGAGTCTACACAACTAATTAAACATCTTTGATAGAATGGTTTAGTTTCATTGAGAAAATATCCTAAAACATGTAACACTATTTCGATTTGTGTAGCGATCCTTTGTTTACATAGGTTGCACGGCTCCACGTGCTGTCATCGAAGCTGATGGAGAGCAAACGATGCAGCCAGTTTGATATCTAAATATGTACTGTCATAGACCTAACTGTCGCAGTTGTGGAAGAATATATATGTAACAATGTAAAACATTGTGAAGAGCGTGCCGAAAAGCTTGCTTGAGACCAGTCTCTTCTTATTATGAATATGCGCGTTTGTTTACAAACAAGAGAAAAGTCTGGTCACGCGATATGCAAATTAGCCTGTGGCAGTGATGTTATGCTAAGTAATCGCTGTGCCGGAGTGTGAACTTCTCTCTTTACGCAGAATCCAATGGTAATGAACCAAGAGTGTGGTTAAGTAGCCAGACTCCATCGTTTGATATGATTGT